TGCAAAATCTATTACAGTATAACAAAATTGTCAAATTACGTCAAAAGACTAAAATGAGACTAAACTAAAACTGATTTCCACTGACTAAATTTTAACTAAAACAAAACAAAACTAAAAGACTAAAATGTGACTTTAACTAAATCCAGTCTTTGGTGAGTGACTAAGACAAAAATTAAATTAAAAATTCTTGTCAAAATTAACACTGGTACAAACTCAAATTTCACACTGCTTATTTGTCAGGTTGTCCTCTCTCTCTGAGTATACAAATTGTAACAATCTGAGTTTTTGTTTTTAAGGAAAGGCCAGCAGTTTGAGAGACGTGCTTCAACTAAATCTCTGAGATTATCTGCCTCACCCAGGAGTCACATAGCAGTTAGCAGTGAGCTCATAGGTCCAGGTTGATATTCTCACACACACACACACACACACACACACACAGGACTGAAGACATTTTACAAAATGCCATAGGCTGGCGCTAATAACGTTAGCATGTTGTACTTGCTTGGAAAACGTGTTTAGTATAAGACAGTTGTTTTGTTTGGGAATGTTGTGAGTTGTAATGGAGCCAAATTATGTACTGTTACCTTTGTTACATGTTGCTGTTGTCCCTGGCTTTATATGAGAAGAGGAAAAGATCGCTAGATGCTAGGCTAATTTATACAATGTAAAATTAAGGACCTCCAGTTTGTTCAGTAGACTTGTTCTAATAACGTTAGCATGTTGTATTGGTGGGGGAAATGTGTCCAGATAAAGACAAGTGTTTGTAAGTTCTGCGATTTATAGTGAAGCCAATTTGCATACCTGTGTTTGAAATTGTCTCTGTTAAGCCATATTTAATGTGTGTTTTCAATCAACTATATTCACCTCATTTTTCACGGTCACACGGAGGCAAAACAGAACGCAGCCAGCTTCCGTATTTTTTGTGCAACACTTCCGGTCCAACACTCTTCACCACTGTGTAAATGTCCCATGGTATTTTCTACAGTGACGTTACTGCGCGCATGGAAATGTTTACATTACTGAAAGCAATTTTAAGGACTACCTTTTAACCATTATACGAAAACATGCCATTTTGTGTCTCTCGAACAAAACTGTGCTATAAATGTCAATAAACAATACACTATAATCATTTTAGAATGTATTTTCCATGATATCTCTTGTAACATTAAAACAACGTAAAATTTTATTTATTTTGTTTTCAAAGAGTTTTAAACACCTTTTTGTATGAAGCATCATTCAAAAACTGTAAAAATGGCCTGTCACTCAATATGATTGTTCTACTTTTACTAGGTATTAAGACCCAAAAAAGTCAAACTATCATAAAAACATAAACTTGTATATAAAGCCTCAAGTGTCCTTTCATTATTCATGAATGGGTTTTATTCTTAATATATGTAAAATGTTGTAAAAAAACATCAATTTAGTTGGGTTGCCAGGTAGTCGTCAACCCTGTTACTTTTAAGAGATAATGCTCCCAAAGTTGCATCATTTCCTGGGAGTGAAATCAGCTTCCTTTTGTGAACATGCTGGTGAAAAGACAAGAAAGTGTCCTCTTCTTTTCATGATTTTTCTTATAGTTATATAATATTTGACAGAGGGGGGCGAGCTAATTGTGTCAGCCCTGTTTCCACAAAAAGACACGTTAAAAAGATATTTGTTAGAAATTTTTAATGTACATAAATAACATGATATAAGCCTCTAATGAATGCACACCATGTGGTCTCATGACCTTCACCACATAGCTAGTAATGGCTGCCAAGAACATTTTTCATCAACCCTGTTACCGTCAACCCTGTTACCATTCTAGCGTAAAAGGGTTGATGGTAACGGGGTTGACAAAAGTATGGTTTTATGGAGTACATGAAAATATACTTTCCTTACCAATAGTAGACATGATATACATGGTTTTACAAGTTTCATCGCTAGCTGAGAGGGAAATTGAAAAAATGGTGCACTTGGTAACAACTTTTTGAAATTAGACATGGTGTTAAACTTGGTGGATTGGTACAACATGTTCCAACATGGAACCCATTAAAATTTGGAGCAGATCCAAATCTCCAGTGAGGGCCATATTGAAATTTGTGGCTATCCCAACTTGGTTTTTGAAAACCTTATACCCATACCTTACACTATGCAAAATTTCAAAAACTTGTCACCAAGTGTACAATTTTTTCAAATTCCCTCTCAGCTAGCGATGAAACCTGTAAAACCATGAATATAATGTCTACTATCGGTAAGGAAAGTATATTTTCATGTACTCGCAAAACCATACTTTTGTTAACCCTGTTACGTTACATGTTGGCAAAGGTCCTTAAAAACGTCCTTGTCAAGACTTTTGAACGTTTCTGGGAGAATTTCAAAATCGGCTCCCTCAATTTCAGCCCATATCTTGTCAAACAGGCGGTCAGCTATGAGACGTGGGTTGGTGTCCATCCCTGCTTTCTTAAAGGTCCTTGAAACCAGTTTCTGTACAAGGACCCTGACAGACAATTTCTTGTTGTCTCTCTGTGCAGATGAATCTTGTTCAGGTTCAGCAGCTGTCTCCTCAGACACTATGAGTGCAGGCGTTTGTGACACTGACTCACTGTCGCTCTGAGCCTGTTTTCTTTTCTGTGCCCAGACTAAATACAAATACAATGATAACGATTGATGATGAATAAATAGCAGCAATAAATAAATAGAAATACAATGATAACACATGATTGATGAAAGTTTATGATATCTGAGGTTGATAATCATGGTTGATGATAAAAAGAATAACAATAATGTGCATGTGTGTGTGACACAGATGACCTAAATCAGTCACCTAAATGTGACTGATGTGCAGTGAAGGGCTTTGAGATCACTTTGCCCACACTGGAGAAGAACCTGGAGATGGCATTGGGCCTCTTTGCTGGTGTCATCAGGTTACGTTTAAAAGTAGAGGCGATGTAGTTGTCAACCTTGGGTTCTTCCTGATTTGTTGAAACCAGCACCATCTGTGCACTGCCCCAGTGTTGGCAAAGGTCCTTAAAAACGCCCTTGTCAAGACTTTTGAACGTTTCTGGGAGAATTTCAAAATCTTCTCCCTCAATTTCAGCCCATATCTTCTCAAACAGGCGGTCAGCTATGAGACGTGGGTTGGTGTCCATCCTTGCTTTCTTAAAGGTCCTTGAAACCAGCTTCTGTACAAGGACCCTGACAGACAATTTGTTGATGTTTGTCTGTGCAGATGAATCCTGTTCAGGTTCAGCAGCTGTCTCCTCAGACACTATGAGTGCAGGTGTTTGTGACACTGACTCACTGTCTCTCTGAGCCTGTTCCCTTTTCCATGCCCAGACTGCTGGAGCATTGGACTCACTGATGTCCCTTTCACTCTCCAGGGAGGTGACAGTTAACATCAGGTCACACTCCAAGTCGGGGATATCCTCCAGAAAAGGGTCTCTGATGTCAATGACCTCATCACCCAATAGTTCCTGGGCAGCTTCAGTGACATTTTCCACTCCTGATGGTCCTGGAGTTGCGTCTATGTCTGCTACAAGGCTGCTCTCTGTTGGTGTCTCCATGCCTTCCATAGCCATGCTTTCCAGAGGGACAGCGGTCAGGTCTGCGCTGTCAACAGACCTGATGTCCTCACTGGAGGCGACTGAGGCGGTGGGAGACACCACCTCCTGTGACATGCAGACAGATGAAGCCAAGTCCTGTCCCAAATCCTCAACAAAGTCCAGAGGATCAGAGGTCAGGTCTGCTGTCTCAGCAGCTTTGGTCCTAGTGGAGCAGATCTTATCCCTGGGTCTTGTTCCAAAACAGCGCTCCCAGGAGCACTAGAATGCAGGCTTCATGTGTATGCAAATACTGTACAATCATAACGACTGATGATAAATAAATAAATAAATACATAGCAGCAATAAATAAATACAAATACAATGATACTGATTGATGATGAATAAATAAATAGCAGCAATAAATAAATAAATAGAAATACAATGATAACACATAACACAGGTGCAGGTATAGTATGTGTTTCTCCTCTATACTCAGCAAACTCTCGCTGGAGGTCAAAAAAGTCTCTCAGCTCTGCTTTCAGCTTTTGTTGGGTGGGACAAACCGCTGAGCACTCACCTTCAACCTCCAACTGAGAGCATTCCTCAGCCTCCTCAGCCTCCCACCTTTGGACTGACTGCATCAGGGCTTCAGTATCATGATAAGCCCTTTCCACAATCTCTGTGAAGACTATGGCCTGTTCTTCAGAGAGAACAAATGTCTCCCCCTGCTTCTCTGTACAGCACCGCTGGGGGTAAAAAAAAAAAACCTCTTCAGATCATCCCTCAGCGTCTCCCTGTAGGAGCCAGGGAGCACATGATTGATGATAGATAAATAAATAGCATAAATAAATAAATAAATAGAAATACAATGATAACATATGATTGATGATAGATAAATAAATAGCATAAATAAATAAATAAATAGAAATACAATGATAACATATGATTGATGATAGATAAATAAATAGCAGAAATAAATAAATAGAAATACAATGATAACAAATGATTGATGAAAGTTTATGATATCTGAGGTTGATAATCATGGTTGATGATGGGAGACACCGCTTTCTGTGACACGCAGTCAGATGAAGCCAAGTCTTGTCCCCAGTCTTCAACAAACTGGAGGCCCTCACTGGAGGCGACTGAGGCAGTGGGAGACACCGCTCTCTGTGACACGCTGTCAGATGAAGCCAAGTCCTGTCCCAAATCCTCAAAGTCCAGTGGATCAGAGGTCAGGTCTGCTGTCACAGCAGCCTTGGTCCTACTGGAGCGGATCTTATTCCTGGGTCTTGCTCCAAAACAACGCTCCGAGGAGCGCTTGAATGCAGGCTTCATGTGCATGCAAATACAATCATAACGACTGATGATAAATAAATAAATAGCAGCAATAAATAAATAAATAGCAGCAATAAATACATAGAAATACAATGATAACATATGATTGATGAAAGTTTATGACATCTGAGGTTGATAATCATGGTTGATGATAAAAAGAATAACAATAATCGGATCTTATTCTTGGGCTCCGAGGAGCGCTTCTTCCTGTGTCTGCCACGTCTGCCTGCAGATTTTTCATCTTTTCTGTCAGACGTCTGTGTACTGACAGGTGCAGGTATAACATGTGTCTCCCCTCTTCCACCTCCGAATGAGAGCATTCCTCAGCCTCCTCAGCCTCCCACCTTTGGACTGACTGCATCAGGGCTTCAGTATCATGATAAGCCCTTTCCACAATCTCTGTGAGGGCTATGGCCTGTTCTTCAGAGAGGACAAATGTCTCCCCCTGCTGCTCTGTACAGCACCGCTGAGGGTCAAAAAACCTCATCACATTATCCCTCAGTGTCTCCCTGTAGGAGCCAGTCACTGAGGGTGTACCTCCGGCCAAATTGATTTTAGCCTCTTCCTCTGCCTGCCACCTGAAGAATGCCTGCATCACCTCAGTAACAAACTGATGTGAGCAGTCCCACTCTGAGGCAGACATGTCGTTTTGTTCTGCTTAGTCTCCCACGCTGTCGGTGAAATGTTCTGGCTGTATCTCCATCATATCAGGATCCGGACGACTGTGTCTCAGCACCTGTTGGGAAAAAATAATATTTTTCAAATGTCAAAACCATTCAAATGTCAAAACATTCAGTTCTTTAAGGACATTCATACTTTATTCTTTTCTACTTTTTATGCTATTTAAAGCCTCAGTGTGTAAAAATGGTGAGTAACAGTGACACCAGCGGTCAAATTCTAGATGGCAGGGCTCACTCGCACTCACTCGCTCGCCCCTCCTGTAGGGTAAGTGACGGTGGCCTCATAGGATAAAAAGCCTTGCGCAGACAACAGAGATCCATCCACGAGTTTTTCAAGTTTTTCAGGAGTAGGCCTATCTAGCGACGAGGTGAATATTTATTTAGGAATCTAAACCATATTACGATGTTGTAGCGACCCTGCAGTAAATGTTCTGTTATAATGTCAGTGTTCTGTGAGTTAATGGCATGTTTGGGATTGAATGAGTATAGGTAGGGGGGCGGGGTGCAAGTGTGACGGGAATGAGGGCTGTGTGAGTGTGTGACGCGTGCTGGTGTGTGTATGAGCGAGCTGGAGGAGAGAGCAGCAGTGCACAGTTTGAGTTACAGCTAACATAAGTTTTTGTTTGTTGGTTGTTTTGGCGTGGTTACAACCAACAGTAACCTGTACCGTTCCGTAATAAACGGTGGTTTGCCGAATAACTGCGTCATCCTTTCCACATGTCCTGGTGGACGCTACAATATGTTATAGCTTACCAGTGACATATAGGTTATCTGTGAGATAAATGTTAGGAGTGTTTTATTTCTAATTGTTTTGGTAACACGAGCAAACATTAGCACAGTAATGCTAAAATAACACGTTTTATGTGATAGTCACGTCACAGTGCGGCAAATTTAGGTTGGTACGATTATAATATATGCGTTTCCAGAGTGTTCTTCCACAGGAGTTCAAATAAAATAAGCAACGCCGATATTCACTCGCATTTTGTCCCGTCCTCACTTATCTGATCTTTTTCTTTTATTTGGTGGCGTGGTTTCCCTCTTACGGGGCAAACATATGTGTGGTCTTCCATTTAAACTGCGACAGAATCATACAGTACAAAGCAGGTTCACGCAGAAGCGCCCCGGATTGATCTTCACCTTCTCCAGTGACGGCAAGTTCTGGGTAAACGCGAAGCGCGTATATCCCTTTCGGCCACTGTATTCAAATATGGCGATGCAAGAGGGCAGCCTCCAGCAGACCGCGCCCTGCCTGTGTATATATAGAGAAATCATTCTAAGCCTATGAGAAAGCTTCCATTTGTATGTGAATTGCATTACACATTAGTAAATATATATTTTATGAAAGCAATAGTTAATATTTGCTAATAAACAACCACGTAAATTACACATTGTAACTTTAAAGTCTGAACTACTGCTGCTACTACTGGGCGTAGGTTTGATTTTTACATTGGTAGGGACATAAAAGTGCTCCATGCCGGTGACCTGTACGTTGATGATTTTTTAATGCAATTTCACGTCATGCGAAACTGATCACTGCTTTATAATGCATATTTAGATATCTACACTAAATACAAGAATGTCTTGGTTAATGTATTCTCTAATGTTATCAGTTACATGAATATACACTACAGTGTGTAGTTATATATTTAACAGAAAGTAGTTATTGTTGCCATGGTATATCTCCAGTGGCTGCTGCTACTACCCAAACCCTGGCGCCATCAGGCCAGTAGTACTACCCCCAGTGAATCCTGTCAACCAATCACATGGCAGTATGGTACTGTCCACCAATCAAATAACAGTATACTCTGAAGGGGTGTAACTTCAGTACCAGCCTGTGGTCTGCAGTTGGGTTGGTAATAGTGATCCGAATTGATATTGATATCTGGTAAAAATTTTTTTTTTTTTTTTATTTATTTTTTTACTTACCCCTAGTCATAATGCTGAATCTCACTATCAACATATATCCTTCACGATTCAATCTCACCTGTGAGGCTCCTGTCTCTTCTCTATCTCCTCCTGTCTCTCTTCCATTTCCTTCTGTCTCTCTTCCTGCCTCTCCTCCATCTCCTCCAGTCTCTCTATTACTTGTCATCTGACAAAAAATATATTGATGCAAGACATGTGAACAGTGGGACAATTTGAGATGCAACAGTCATAGATTTTGATTGTTGTAGCCTGAGGAAAACATATTGTGTGTTTTACAATTGAGTAATTCATTAAACAACATCTGAATGTATATAGGCTAAAGAACAGCCATAATGTCAACACAAGTTAGTCAGCTTCATCATGTTAAACATAAATAATACAACTGTGTGCAAAATGTTGCACTTACACCCAATATCTATTACATAAATATGACTGGGAGCAGTGGATCTCTATTCTCCTAAGTCTCTTCCTCACACACCATGGATGCTGAAGACTGTCACTGAAGGAGCTATTATTTATAGTGTGTACACTTTATTTATTCAGACTGTTTCTATTATGTCATCTTACTACGAACATTAATTTGAACTGTCATCACTACATGACATCTATGATTGCTGATGGAGCATGTGAAGTGGAATTTCATGTTCTCTGGCATATAATACTGATCTTGCCAAACTTAGCTCAGCTAGTATTAGCTCGTTAGCATCTCATTATCTCACTTAGCAAAGAATTGCCAAGGATCGCCATTCAGTTAGCCTAACATCAACATGTGTTGGCAGAAAATACGATACTTTAAGCTTATTTACTTAATCAGCCGACTCACATCTGTTTTCTTCCTATTCATCCGGTTTATCAACGACTGTTGTAGGTGCTGGGCCTGCTGGCATTTCATTTTTCATCCGCGAAATCTGCACGTGTTTGTTTGTAGAATGCAAACTTGAAATGTACGCTGTGCGCGCGACATATCAGGACCATAGACAGTCACAGATCACTGGCGCACGTTCACACTCGAACGGTGACGCGCATGTGTGTGTCGTTCCCTCACAAACTGACGTGAACTGTACGGTGACACGCACCCACAAAGTCAGTGGAGAGAGCGGCGCTGGGGAGCATAGACATAATAAAGAAAACTTAAAAACTCTTTATTATATCTATGCTGGGGAGGACCACACGTTACCAAAATAACGGTAGAGCCAATCGATGAGCAATACGAGGTTAGAGGCGGGACATATGGTAGACACCAACGATTGTTAACCCTTTGTGAACCATATTGAGCGGACGCCGACCATAGACATATATACGTAGACGGCGCATGGAGTGGGTTTGCCCGCTGCTGCGATACGTCAACGCCGCCGCCATATTGGATGTGGCAAGGCTGTGCTGTAAACTAATACAAGTAAATGGACTTAATTTCATAAAACGCCGTTCTACAAAGAAATTTACGTCAGTGTCTCTCATTCATTCATTCACACACGCACTAATATACTTGGGAAACAGTTAGGAACCAAAAACAATGTATTTGATCTTTTCAGATGGATCTTCTCAGTTTGTTGGTTGTTTTGGCGTGGTTACGGCCAACAGTAACCTGTACTGTTCAGTAATAAACAGTGGTTTGCAGAATAACTGCGTCATCCTTTCCACATGTCCTGACGGACGCTATGTGTATATATATACAGTACAGGCCAAAAGTTTGGACACACCTTCTCATTCAATGCGTTTTCTTTATTTTCATGACTATTTACATTGTAGATTCTCACTGAAGGCATCAAAACTATGAATGAACACGTGTGGAGTTATGTACTTAACAAAAAAAGGTGAAATAACTGAAAACATGTTTTATATTCTAGTTTCTTCAAAATAGCCACCCTTTGCTCTGATTACTGCTTTGCACACTCTTGGCATTCTCTCCATGAGCTTCAAGAGGTAGTCACCTGAAATGGTTTTCCAACAGTCTTGAAGGAGTTCCCAGAGGTGTTTAGCACTTGTTGGCCCCTTTGCCTTCACTCTGCGGTCCAGCTCACCCCAAACCATCTCGATTGGGTTCAGGTCCGGTGACTGTGGAGGCCAGGTCATCTGCCGCAGCACTCCATCACTCTCCTTCTTGGTCAAATAGCCCTTACACAGCCTGGAGGTGTGTTTGGGGTCATTGTCCTGTTGAAAAATAAATGATC